AGATTTATAGATCAGTAAAACATCTGAATTAAGTTTTTTAGTGAAACGTTATTCCATTATGTGTATGTACAAATGACGAATTATAAAGCTAAAGTATTGAATAATTTGTGTTCATAACGTTTCTGTTGACTTATCCGTACACTTCCCTCTCTTCCTACAGCGGCGGTGTTTTCTCCTGCCCGGAAGACAGTTTGCCGTTGGATTACGCAAAGGTACAACAAAAAATCATTGTATCCATCTAAGGTTTATATAGTGCAGATCATTTAGGTTTATTAAAATCTCAGAATCCGTCATCTTTATTGAAGTTGATAAACGTTCTCGGTGTTCAGTTCTTTAATGTTTTCCAACTAGTGAAGTTAAAGTACGCTAGTTTTTAACGATATTTTAATTTTTTTTCGTACATCGTAATTTCGACTTGAAAATTGGGTTTATATTAACATAGAACATTTGTGAGTTCATCCTGCTTCCAAAAAAAAAAAAAATGCTGTTGGTAGAGTATACATTACTTGATAGAAACCGTGCTGTACTTCGTTTGCGTGTAAAAGCTGATTAAAATAAAGGCATTGAAATGGCGACCAACAAATAAGATTAGGCAGAAGCGCGCGAGTGTTGTGTGTAGTAAGTCAACTTTTTTGCGTGGTGTAGTGACATTCTGCTATATGTTTATTTCAAATTATCAGAACTTGTGAAAGAAGAATGTTAGGTCAGTCGCACTAAACCTGCTATATCCAGTGCCGACGAAGCCTTTTCGCTCAATACCAGGGCTCATCAGGCCGGCTGGGATACGACAGTTAATAGTAACATCGTTTTGAAACCACAGAATGCCAAGTTCATTATTCAAGAATATTAACGATCAATTAACAAGTTCATTTTGTTTTTCAGTTGTTTCTTTCTTTGTCTCTTTAAAAAAAAAAAAAACACGGACTAGGCGTGGACTATTAGATAGCATGCCTAAATTTTAAATCTTTTGCTGCGTAAATGTACTTCAAGTTTGGAGGTGTACTTGCATTATAAAAAGTGAGTCAAATCTCGCTATTTGCTTAGGTAAGAATAGCTTAAGAGTTGGCGATGGATACTGTTTAATTAGCTGTTCAGAACAATTTAGATATTTACTCGTCGGTGAATCTCCTTAATTCGGATTTGTCCATCCCAGAATATAGTGACTATATGGGGAGTTTTTGTGTCACTCCAATTTCGCGTATTTGCTTTTGAGGATACCAATAGTGAAAATTTTACTTTCTTTTTTTATCGTTATGACAGTCATTGTAGCAGTTTAATTCAAGAGATATTATGGTCTGGCACTGGGATATAGCAGTTTCTTGGTGTAACCTATATAGCAATATGTCTATAAGTTCGTTTTAATTTTCTCGCAAAGATACCCAAAGGCCTAAATAATGCAAGTGATTTGTTATTTGCAAACCTTCTTGAGATTTTAAGGAACACTTCCTTGGTTCTTTAGTTACGGTTCAAGTCCAATGTTGGTTCTTCTAGAGATTTTAAGGAACACTTCCTTGGTTCTTTAGTTACGGTTCAAGTTCATTGTTGGTTCTTCTTACCGGAATTCATGTACTTACAAATATTGCAATTGTTAGGCTATCCCGAGAGCTTATCAGGCTGTACGGTAAATTGAAATTTGACGTTTATTAAAAGAAACGAATGGCAAAACAAGTGAGAAATATGTACATGCCAGCTATAACCAGTTTTTAAAAACAGTTAGGTAAATAACGTTAATGTCATTCTAAAAGAAAACGAATATGCTTAGTAAACACTAAAAAAAAAACCATTTCTCACATTTCGACTGCTAATTTTTAACCGTAAAATTACGAAACCACTTTTATAACACACAGTTTAGAACTATATAATGTTTGAATATGAAAAACAATACAAAATTATGGGGAAGTATTAAGTGAAATACACATACTGGCGAATAAAAACAAACGAACTTACAGAATAAAAATGTAGATGAGAAAGAAAGAACATTTGTACAGCATTGCCATACTAGCCACAGCACACAGTTGTTGCTAATCAATCAGTCTTCTTTTTCAGCTGAACAAAGAGATGGATTGTTCTGAAACTCACCAAACTAGCCTTATATCACGTGACAGATTAATCAATCCATCATTACCCTCCCGCATGACAAACTAACATACACAACTGAGCTAAAAAAAAAAAATTGCCATTACCCAATTAACTCGTGCTGTACTTTATAAACTCGCCTAACCGCTTTATAGTTGTTTGAGTTTTATAATGACGAACATTCTCGTCTAATTTGAAAACGTAAATATAAATATTTACTCGCAGTTTCGTGGTGAGTCATGGGACAAATTGGAGACAACGGGCCACCCCCACAACTTGGAATAACAGCCTAAGGTCACACTGCAAAAATAAAATCTTACACATATTCTACTGAAAATCCTCTTTAAAAAAAATAGCTTGGGGGTGTTGGTCTTGACGTGTCTCGTCTAATCTTTACAAACATTTTGCCATACATGTTGGAGAAGATCTGGATTTTAACCACAAAAATATCCTCATAATAAACTTACGTCGACCATGTAAGACAGGTTTTGGTTGTCTAACGAGCTGTATGGTAAAAATAATAACTGGCAAGCGGCTTACTTTCATATATGTAGAGCCTTTGTATTTCAACTTCTGCCTTATTTCTTGATAGGTGTACCCAGATCCAGACACCGAAGCAACAGTGATGAGTTCTCTGGTTTACTGCATACACTACAAGGAAGGCTGTAAGTGGACAGATGAGCTAAGGAAGTTACAGGTATGAATCTTTTAAGACAACAGAAATCAGTTTTCTAGTTGTCATTTTAAGTTTGGCGTTATAACAGATTTAATAATAATTACACTTGGATCTTCGTATTACTCCTAATGATCCGATACATTATTTTCTCACGGCCAAAGTTTAGCATAATTATTTTTTCTGCGAACAGACTAACAGTGAAACGCTTGTTACTTTTCGAATGGCGAGTGTGAAATAGTGCAAGAAATAGGGTGCTAAAAGACAATTTTCAAGTGTGTTGGAATACGAGTTCCCAAACTTTATTAGCGCACCCCTCCCGAATATTCCACATCCTGATAGAGCACCCACCGAATTATTCTACAGCAAGATATTTCTTTTTTTGCTAGACGTTTCCGTTTGAAAATATTTAGTGCTGTGACGACCCCTTTGCCCCCCCCCCCACAATGATGACAAATTAAACTACATATCGTAAAATATCCGTTATAGCAGTATTTTTTTTATTATCTCGCAATCCCTCTCCCCCCAATACAATAGCACTGTGATCTCTTCCTTGAGATCGGGACTCCAGTTTGAGAGACGCTGTCCTAGAGATACTGAGTACCTTCAAAATATTGTGAATTGGTTATCAGTTGGGGGGGGGATATGGGTCATAGAACTTCTATAGAAACCTTTCTCTCTTTCAAATCTGTTTCATAATCTCTAGTGTATAAAACGCATCATGCTGCGCTTCTTAAACGTTCTATTTTAAATATAATTCACAAATTTATCACCCTTTTTTTTTCATTGAATTATTTAATGATAATTAATCCAAGTATGTTACATTATCATTGCCGATTACAAAAGTTACTAAAGTAATTTGTAAAAAACATAATGTAGATTTATCTGAGAAAGTTTGATGTTAAGCCCAAAGCTACTTCTGCTCATCGCGGGATAGAATCCCAATTTTTACCGCTATAAGCTCGCAGACTTACCGCTGAGCTACAGGGGCAGGCTGAGAAAATAAACTTGAAAATTGATCTGTAATTTTGCTTCACTACACTTATTTTAGTAAGTAAAACAATTTGATAAATGACATTCCAAAATGAAGAAAAAAGAACATACAGTAACAGCCAGCCATTTTAGAAACCTTGCATTACAGTATCAGTTGACTAAAAATGACGTTATTTTGGCAGAAACCTACTTAAATTTTTTATACTGTGATTACTTGATTTGATTTCGGCTGCATTTTTTTTCAGTTGTACAGGTATTCAGTTTTGTACCAAAGCCTCAACCGAAACTGGTTCAAGCAAGTGGAGAGCTTGGTATTTTGGAAATTTTAAACTCGACACCATATTATTAGGAAAACATAATGCTTATGTTCAAAGGTCAGCAACAGTACAATTACTCGGTTCCCAGGCAACAATCCAACTACCTGATTTCCGGGCAACAATCGCTCTTGAATAGATTATTTCACCTTGTTTTTGATTCAAGATTCTATTAAATTTAAATGCTCTTAGAAAAACTTGCTTTTAAAAGGAGTGAGTAAATGGTGACACAACGGTAACTATAATAGACTTGTATGTATTTTGTATAACTATATATTATGATTTTTTTAAAAGAAAAATGCCATATTTTCTCGCTAGTTTAACGTTGTATTTATCTATCTTCATTCTCTCACATGTAATAATAATAATAATACGAGTCTGTTAATTTAGATAAATCGTGTGCAGGATATTGCGAGGGTTAACGAACACTGTCCACAACCAATTATGCTTTAGTCTGTTGCCATGCCTTGGAAACGCAGCAACGAGTAAAAGTGCCTACAAATAGGTTTTTTTAGCTGAAATTGGTCCTCCACAGTATGTTTGTTTTCATTCAAGATTCGCACTGGCGCTTCAGTTGGTATGGTATAGCTTTTTTTTTCCACACTCGAATAGATCTTGAATAGTAGGAGAAGAAACATTGAAGCGCTCTCTAACAGAAGATGCATGTTTGGTCTGTTGATGTGTTTTCTCAAAGGTAGGACCAGGGATAATAAACCAATTACAAAGTTTCGGTGTAAGTGTAATCCGAGTGGGTAATGTTATAAAACTGGGTGCAGTAGTGTCTTATCTATCGGTGTTCTTATGGACTATAGTTACTGTAAGTTGCACGTTTATTATTACTGACAAACACCATCCAGCTGCTTCTTTAAATATCAGAAGACTGGTGTACTTATTAGTGGTAAAACTTGGATAAGGAAAGACCTTACATTTATCACTGATTAGGAAAAGATCTTTCACATGGAACTGGAAAAACAACAACAAAAATACCCCAAACTGACAATTTCACAATACACGTGTTTTATTTATACCTCGACGTGCCACATTCAACGAGAATTAAAACTAACTATGTATATCGGGGATCTCGCGAGGAGAAGCCTTCTTGAAAAGACGATTTGAACACTCAGATTTTGAGTTCAGTATGAGGTGTCTCGTTTGTGATGATAAGTGCTTGTCAAAAGACCGTATAAATCCAAACAGATGGAGACATTCATAGGCGCCGTGTGGGTGCCATCCTCCCCTCGGGAAAGAATATGCAGGCCTAAGAAACATTTCGCATGTTAATTATCTTGTCTCTACCCCCTCAGAAAAAGAGAACTCGGCGTCTATGGACGTGTCGTTCGGTGCATAATTGTGGAGATAAAGTAGCATATCTTAAAGTTTCAAGTGAGGCCTTGCTGACACCATTATTTTTCTAAGTAGCATATCTTAAAGTTTCAAATGAGGCCTTGCTGACACCATTATGTTTCTCTCTTTTTTTTTCCTTTTTTTTTTCCTTTTTTCAAATTTTCTCATAATAACACATCCTTTTCAGATCTTTCCTTGAAATATTGTCTTGCTCATTTTCCATTCGGTGCTTTCAATTCCGTTATAACATGTTGAAAACATTCCACTGCAAATTCTTTCTGGGGCTTGAAATGCTCCAGTGGCTCAGCAGTAAGATTGAAGTCTAGTTTCGTTAAAGCCGAGTGTCGATACCAGTGATGGTTACAGCATAGATAACCCATTGTTCAGCTTTGCGTTTAACAGCAAACAAATTGGAGCATGAAGTAATTAATGCAAGCTGGAGCACCAATCACTCGCCTCTTTTTTTTGTTACGGTTGGGAGAATTTTACAGTCGGTTTCTCCTAACTTTCGAATTTTTGTTTTTTTTCTTACAATAAAATCCCAGTCATTGTACTTCGGAACGTACGTTTTCAGACCAAATCATACAACGGTAACCAATAATGTTACAACGTTGCTACTGTAGACAGCGCGAAACACAAACACTATTCTTTATAGCTATACAATTTTATATATAGTAGCTTAGCAACCGTTATCTAATATGCAACATATTCCTCGTGCTAGCACTTCTTACAAAATAGTTTAATGTGGTTACCTAAGTACAATTTTATTTTTAAACAAGCCTATGTACGTACAAATCTAAAACAAATGTTAAGCAAATAAAATAATAATAATAATATTTCTGTCATGACAACTGGGTACCCGTCAGTCTCGACCGGGACATGAAGGAGAAACTATTACAACAACAACAACAAAACTTTGTTTGCAGTTTTATTTTTCTTAGTCGGAACCCCCTCTACTTCCATGCAGTAGCTCGATATGCTGACATAGAGTGACGTAAGACATATTGACTATTTTCTCCGACAGTTCTTGAACCCCCCTGTACCATATCCAAACTTTCCTGAATAAAACGTATCATGGAAGTTAGTTTTCTTAGGACAAATAGTTTTTAGTAGACAGTCATTTTAATTATAAAGTTTCTTAATAATCACCTTATATTTCTGTAACACACAAGTTGAAATAAAGATTAATAAACAAGTCGTTATGAATTTTTTTATTTAAATTTTCAGACTGCAAGTTTGACTGTTGAATGTGAATTTTTATTTACTGAGTTCAATAATATTGTTTTAAACTTGAAAGTAGAAGCGCGGAAACGCAGCTTGTACCAAGTTATCCAAAATTTTCGCTAATCCACTAATATTGTTCTTGGAACTTCATTAGTGGTCGACTTTTATTATGAAAGATTGAGCATGTACAATCTTTAATCCATCTGTACTCTCTGTTTTTGCACTACAAATTATCAAAAATACTTATTTAAAGTTTGTAACATTGTAGCCAGATAAAGCTGTAACCGTTATTTAAAAACTGCTATGTTATACCCCCTTCCCTGTATGTTTTCAAATGGGAAACTTTCCTGTTTGCTTGAATTGCGCACGAAGTTATTCGAGTTATAATGCTTGGAGACTGCTTGAATGGGTGATGATTATTCGAGGGTTATTTACGCTACTAGCAGTCTCTAATTTTGAAATAATAGACTAGAGGGAAGGCAGCTAGTCAACACCAACCACCGCCAACTTTTGGTCCACTACTTCTTACCAACGAATAGTGGGACTCGTTCTAACTTTATAACGACCCCACGGCAGAAGGGGGGGGGGCATGTTGGGCGATGGGCTTTGATCCCGCGACCCACAGAACTCTAACTACTGGGCCATGTCGGGCTTATCCGTGTCTTTTAAGTCCAGAGAGGTGAACATCTGATGTGTTATTTACAAATTTTGTCTATTACTAAACACTTGACTCACTAGACGCCTTCATTATTTCATATACAGCACTAATATAACAAGCTAATATAATATGTTTTTCTGACATCTAACTAGCATGAGTATTAATAACAGTTAGGGTACCTTGAAACTCCTTAAAAACTGTGATCTACTTTTCACCTGCTGGTTACTTTGTGTGATCTTTTTTAGAGATCAATATCTGCATTTCTCGTTCAAGAAGTTGACCTGGTTCACAAGGGAACAAGATCTGGTGTGTGGAAACCACATGAAAAAACAACAAAACTGTTCTTATAAGACAAACTGTTATAAGTGGGGAGGGAAGGGCAAAGGAAAGGTGGCGTACTTGACTACTTTCCAAAACACGTTTTTGGTAGTTTGACTCTGGCACTCGGACGTTTGAAGACAGTCGGATACGAAACGTAAGGCTTATAGTTGTACTTTCTCAAACGTTGCGTTTCAATACCATTATGTTTCGAATATAGTCTGAGAAATGTCTGTTTCACAAGAAAGCCGAAGTGGTTATACGAGAATAAAGGTCAGAAATTGTGTTTAATTGTGGTCGAGATTAAATTTAATACTAATCTGTTTATAAAAGGTAAATCTTCTATCAAAAGCTTCCAACTCTGTAGTAGACGGTAGTGTGCACATATCGATATAATCTGGCATGTACAGATGTATTTTATAATTTTTACCTTGACAACAGTAGCATCATTTTTGAACGCGTTTTTCATCAGAAGTAGCTGCATGGTTTAATTTACTAATCAGTCGGCTGCTTTCTATAGAATGTATTTGGTATAACTTTACCAAAGGAAACTCTAGTTTTCTTAGTGATTTTATTATTGTATAGACTTTCTGGAGCATGTACATATGAACCGTGTCTTTCTTTTCATACCCTTTTAACAGAGTAAATGTTTTACCTCTTCTAAAAAACCTTCTCTCTTTTTTTAACGCATTCTTGAACGCTCATATTTTTACCCCCCCCCCATCATACTGTCCTGAAAATAAGTACACAGAGGTGATAAATAAAACAACAACAAAGAAAAAAGAAATGAATTTCTTTGATACCCGGATGTCAAATATTACAATACCTGTCTTTCCAAGGACAGGTGTTTAGTTGGTAGCTGTTGTCCAACATGTATATTACACTAGTGTCTAGTTCCGTGTTGTAATTACATTATGTATCCTAGCAGGGAGCTGTAAATTCTTTTGACTAAATTTGACCATTGAAATATAATATATATATTTTTTTATTTTGCGTCTGTTTGACTGAATAATTCACAGTTACTTGCATGGATCTATACCGCGATATTGAAAAGATATGTTACTGTACTGACAATGAAAGACAGGAATGCACGAACTTTGCAGGGAAAAACTCTCGTGCATATTCGTATTCCAATTGACTGAAATACTGGTGACAAGACTAGTTGTGAGACAAGTTTTGGCGGTAAAAGTTTATCTATAACCTTGGTCTCCGAGTGCCGTTTGGCTAGCAAGTCTTAAAGCCAAGAGGCTAAGCACTAAAAGAATGTAACACGCTTAACCCTAGAATTACCGAGGGGTTTTTCATCGGTTTTAAACGTCTTTATAAACCATTTAAGCACAAAACTGCTTGTGAGTCCACGGAATCCCTAATAACATACGAACCACAATAATATATGTAAACAAAAATACCGTCAATATTGTAATTAATCCTGTGATTATCTACGTCTTGCGTAGAAAATAAGAGTATTTTTTACAAAAGCTACACAATGGGCTATCTGTGCTCTGCCCACCACGGGTATCGAAGCCCTGTTTCTAGTGTTGTAAGTCCTCAGACATGCCGCTGTGCCACTGGGGGCGTTTACAAATAAGTTTTGTAATGGACACAAACAGTTACTCATTATGATGCAACATGGCTTCATCGCTGGTGAACGATTAAAAAAAAAAGTCAATAATTTGAGGGTCAACTTGTCGATTTTACGGATGTCAGACCGTCAGCATAACGGTTACGTAATTAGCAGTAGAATAATTTTAATGTACACACAGTCGTATCGTATTGACGTTGACACGCCTCCTTTATTATTATTATTTTTTAACTCGTGGCATGGCTTAGTGGTTAGAGCGCTCGACTTGCAATTCGGGGGCCCTGGATTGGAATCAATATCCGAACATTCTCGCCCTTTCAGTCGTGGGGGTTGTTATGTGACTGTGAATCCAACTGTTCGTTTGTAAAGAGAAACCTAAGAGTTGTTGGTGGGTGGTATTGAACTAGCTACTTTTCCTCTAGTCTATCACTTTAAAATTAGGGAGGACAAAGGCAGATAGCTTTCCACTAGTCTTGTGTGAAATTACACAAGCTTTCCTCGGACTTGAGAAAAAAACCAAAAACATTTAACTGTTTCTCTGAAAATCCAATATGTCATCAATTTCTTTGCCTAGTCCTTGAACGCTGGATTATTCCAGTTTATTGTGGGTACTCAAAATGTTATGGAATTTTGATTCATGTTGTAAACATTAATTTTTAACTCCCTCAAACATTTTACTTTAAATCTTAACACTAACATTAAACTTAAACTGAATCAGTCGTGTATATCTAACAAACGGGAATCGTGTGAAGAGAACAGTTTTTGACACTTTATATAGTGGGAGTGTCATATTTAGTTATTTTTAGAAGCGATATTTTATAAGTTTGTTTATATAACTGTTTACAAATCTTAAGTTGTATAGTACAATTGTTATGAAATAGCGATTGTTTAAATTATGATGAGATTACTGCGTCATGTTGCTAGAAATTTCTCAGTTTCTCGCTGGTTTAACTGAGTATTATTGTATCAGAATATCTACCATTGCGTGGAATGTTGTAGATTTCTGTCGTGGTATAAATACGTGTCGAAAAATCATTATTTAGTTCTAGTCTGCGTGATCGCGAGTTTAGCGATAAAGAGTATTTAGTAGCGATTTTTAAAATGAAATTATCGCATTGTATTGTAATAACATAGTAGAGAAGAATAATTCGTCTTGGCAATTTTATTATGAAGTAACTGAACCAGCATGTGTGGACTTTGACGAAAGAAAAAAGAATTATTTAAAGCTCTGTGTGGTAATTAACAGTGTAACGAACATTTGTATATACGTTTGATTTGTTTTTAATAAATTATATTAGAACAAGCGGACTGTGTTGCTGTTTATTTATAGTTGAAATTAACCGCAAACAATTCTCTCTCTCTCTCTTTCACACACACATACCTAATGTAAATAATCCAGCTTTACAAAACCTGACACTGTATTTGAACCGTATATTGGAGCACCATCCCCCCCTCCTTTTTTGTCATTTAGTATCTGTTTGTTGTGGCTGCTAGAAATCTGTTTACCATTCCATGATTCACTGGTTACTCTGTACTGTGTCGTGCCGAAGGGCAACATTACTTGCTATCAAAGAAAGCCACGCAAAAAGTATAAAGTCGGGAGGCTGGTATGGGTGTGTTTTTAAAACCTTATAGGAACGTATGAATCATTTTTATTCTAAGATAATATATAGCCTTTGTGTTCCAGGAAACCGCACTATTAAGGTAACTGACATTTCAAAAGTGATTTAAGAAAAGATTGGATGACTATATATTTAAAAACCGCAAATTTAATTTTTGAAAAAAGGTGTGAGGGAATGGATGCGTACAGGAGATTTTTACAAATCTACATCCATTCCGCGTGACCCTTGTCATACAAAGCTTTAAAATATAAACTTACAATAAATAAGGATGAAGTAAAGTAAAACTCCTAAATTGTGTGGGCCGAGCATTGCGGCGAAGGGTCCAGGGTTCGAAACGTGATAATGCTTCACACCTTCGGCTATGGGCGCGTTAGAAAAGTGACAGTCAACGTTGTTATTTGGTCCAAAGAGCCAAATTAAGTAATTATTGGTGGAATGCTGCAGACTGGCTGCTTTTTATCTCTGGTCATTGTTTCAAAACTATGGGAATGCTTACATATTCGTTATTTGTTTTCACTCTCAAGTTCTTAGAAATATCCGATTGCTGGGTAATTCTGACCTACAGTATTGGACTACCGATAAATAATTTTTGAAGGTTATCGCACTGTCCTGCTAGAAGCTGTTCCGGAGAAGTAGAAACGGAGTTGACATCCCCCACCCTTTTATTTTGTCATTAGGAAAATTGTGGACTTTAACAAAATTTCGACGAAACGTTTATGCATAAACCAGATAGTCTAATAGTGTGAGGGTCTCTGTAACCTGTTTAACAAACATGCGCTCTGTTTTCTAATTGTATAACTTTTCACGCAGGGCCACTTGAACACGTGCAAGTATGACGCCGTTCCATGTACCAATCAGTGCGCCGCCATGATACCGAGAGTGCTGATGGAGGACCACCTGTTCTACACTTGTCCCAAGCGAAGAACCAGGTGCGAATTCTGCAACAAGGAATTCACAGGAGAGATGTTAGAAGTAAGTTATCACAATTACAGCTGACGAGACTTTAATAGTCTCTTTATAAATCTGATAATAATCAAGAAGCTATGTAACTTAAATGGCTTGTTTATTTGTCGCTAAGCGCAAATAGGCTATCTTTGCTGTGCTCACCACGGGTATCGAAACCCAACTTTTAGCGTTAAGTCTTCAAAAATACCGTTGAGCCACTGGAGAACGTTTAAACAGAGTTGGCTTTGTCTTCGAGCATTGAACTTTTATTGTTTACAAAATACATCCTGCCTCCAATAGGTCTTCTCCACATGATTTACATACTATATTAATTGGTCTTCGTTATATATATATATATATATATATATATATATATATA